GCCTTGATATATGTATATAAACTGAAACAGCTGGACTAGTGCAACCTAAATTTAACAAATTAATTATTTTAATACAAAAGTAATTTCTGCATGTTTTGGGGAGGTCACCTCGTAATAAATGTCATTAAGGTAAATCTAACTGCTCATTTTAAATCAATACTTTTACTTTTAATAATTAAGTACAAAAGATATCAGACACTTTAAGGCTTTTACTCAAGTAATATTCCTAAAGGAGACTTTAAATTTTACCAAAGTAATTTTTTGGTAAGATACTTGTACTTTTACTCAAGTATCACTTTGTGGTACTTTATACAACACTGTCTATTGGGAGGTTTGCTTAAATTAAACCACCTCCTTGCTTTGTGAAATTGACGTAATTATTAAAAATAAATAAATTTCCGTTTCCGTAGTTTGCCCTTTTTAGCGACTGTTGTCTAAAAATCCATGTTTCATTCTAAACTGCTGTATGGAATATTTGATCAAACTCAGTATTTTTTACTTGAAGTAAACTGCTCTTTACTGCTTAAGCTGCTGCCTCACGATTAGATTCCAGAACAAGCAGAAGATACTGGATTGATTGAGTTTTACTTTATTCTCACCTGATCAAAGTATATTTATTTTCCATACCTGTTCAGTCCTGTTCGGGGTGACAGAGGGGCTTGAGGTTATTCCAGTTTTCACAGAGCAAAGAGCAGCAATTAACCTGACTTGTAATTTGTTGTTTTTTTATTTATTTATTTTTTACTTTGAATGGAAACTAGAGAACCAGAGTTGTACATTCAAACAACCCACAGGCTTCTTAGCTGAGATTGAAACACTCAGACCTTCTTGCTGTGAAGCGATAGTGCAAAAGGTCTTTGTCAGGTGGTTCTTTGGTTTGTTCAGATGCACCTTTCAAAGCTTTAGCTGTGCTATCATGCTCTCTTTAGAGTAAAAAAAAGGCTTTTACCAGGCATCCTTTCAATACAAGCTATACATATTTATTCATGTTCAGCGGAGCATGAAAACTTTGAAATACAGCTTTTTGGGTTTTTGGATTTTCTCCGAGGATTGTAGGATCTGACCTTAGGGTAGATTTTTTTTGGGATGATTGCTCTTTGGAGATTTGGCAGCTATTTAAAATGTTTATCCTATAATGCTTGTATTTGATATGGTGTTAGTGTTATATTTATGCAGTATGTTTAGAGAAGATGAAGGGAGTTGGTAATGTCGGACTCCTTTTTAAAGGTTGTTCTATGTTTTAATTAGGGATGTCCTGATCCAGATTTTTTTGGCTCCCGATACAATCCGATTTTTTTTAATAAGTCTTTCCGACACCGATCCGATAACTTAATTTCTTTATTTCTTTCCAAGTGACAAGGTTGGTAGTATTAAAGTGAGCCCTGCTGTTCCCGCCACGAGAAACATCCAGTTTGCAGATTTTGCAAGGTGCACTTTCAGCATCATTGTTTTCCATTGAAAAGTGTTCCCACACTGTGGACATGGTTGCATACTTGTTTGCGTCTTGACTTCTCAACGGCAGTTGTAAAGCACAATGATGCTGAAAAGCGGCCCGATCACGTGACTAAATCCGATTCTACACGATTTTCAAAAAATGGCCATATCTGCTACGATACCGATTCTGAGTATCTGATCGGGACATCCCTAGTTTTAATATGCACAAAATGTACCATTGAAAAGAGTAGTTACGTGTACGTATTCTGCATGAATAAATTAGGTGTTACATTTTAGATGGTGAACARGGGTAGTGTATAGAAATGCATAACATGCATAGTTATGTAATCACACAGCTTACAGTACTGTAAGACAATTAAGTGTTCTTTAACTGAAATTGAGATGCAACCACATAAATATTGAACAGATTGAAGAGCTTTGGAACCATACAAAAAATATCGATACACTGAAATATCGCGATATTTCATTTCCCGATACTGTATCGATATTCTAAAGTCCTGTATTGATTTTTTTATTAAGGTTTAAAACAGAGGTGCCCAAAGTGGGGCCCGCGGGCCAAATTTGGCCCGCCAAGCCATTTGATTTGGCCCACCAGCAGTTATCCTGGTTACTAGATTGTAATCCTGTCTTATGTAGAAATACTATATTTGCACTTAGTCTTTTCAAACATTGGTTCAGCTATAGATACAAGGAGCTGTAGTCAGATAGTCTTAACTCATGGTGCTCGCTTTATCTTTGAATTGTTAAGATTAAACTTAAAATTCAAGTAACTTCAAGAGACATTTATATTAGATTTAAGTCCATATCTAGATTTGCACACCTTATAAGACCACATACTCCAATTTTAAATTATGAAAAGTCCCATGAGCTTTTGCTGCCCCTAGCATACGTTGAATTATCTCCATATCCATGGGCTGGAAAAACAACAAACAAACAAACAAGGAAATGTGGGCAACYGCACTGACTGCTGGCTTAATCATGAAACAATACAACTTTACTTGAAGTATTAGCATTTCGTGTATTATATTATTGCATTTGGCCCGCCACCCTCAGATTGATTTTAATTTTGGCCCTTTCAGGGAAAATGTTTGGGCACCCCTGGTTTAAAATGTCAACTTTCCTGCCAGCCGTTCATTTTTATGTTGTAGTTCAGCCTCTGACCACTAGTTGGCAGCAGTGAGCCAGCCATTTGGCTCCTCTACCTCTTGAGGCAGAAGCTATTGTTAAGTGTTGAGTGACGATATTGTAAATTAATATTAAAAACTAAAAGCTGCAAAATATATATTTTCAAACTATTTATTGGCAAATTTAGTCTAATAATTGAAAACATGGATGAAATATGAAACAAATAAAATAAAATACATACAAAGCAGAACACAGCTAAATGTATCAAAAATATGTCTATGTAATATTAGAGTTTTCTGAGACGATGAATTTTGGTTTTTCATTTTTTCCCCTGTAAGAGGTTTTTATTTAATAGAATTTTAGGACAAAAGAACTCGCAATATATTGCAATATATCGCCTTGCTTATAGTATCGCAATATATCGGGATATATCGTATCGTGACCCCTCTGTYATGATATGTATCGTATCGCCAAATTCTTGCCAATACACAGCCCTACCCAGATCTGGCACGAGCGAGCTTTATTGCTTGCGCTAAAGCAATAGGAGCAGCGCTGCCTGAAACCAGAACTTCCTGTCCTTTTTATACAGTGGTCTTCAGTGCCTGGTGCGCCCACTACAGGCCTACGGCTGCATCGCAGGCCACTCGAACAAACATTACCTTCCCTAATGAATTGATAACCGTTTTTCTATGTGTTCTTATTTAGTTTCAGGCATGTAGCTAACACTATTTTAATCAAGACATAACAATAGTCAAACAATAGATTATAAGAATACTTAAAAGGAAAACTATGAATATAGTGTGGTGCTTCTAAATCAGTTTCTAACTAATAAATTTCTTCAATACCCACGTTTAAAAAGGTGTCCAATTGAAATACATTGTTTTAATACATACGAGGCATSTACTGACGGAGCAACCGTTGTATGTTTTTATTGTAAATGTGCTCCAGGCTTAGGAAAAATAAAGAAAAGATGTATTTGGTCGTTGGCTTTAAAATGCAAGAAAGTGTGTCATGAAGTTACA